TCAGTAAGGTGCGGAATTGCTTATTGCCAGAAACTGCAAGAGCATGTTTGTGTATGAAGAGTTGGATAATCAATAAAGTAGGGGTTTAGAGTGCTAGAATAATATTCTCGAAATTACTTATATTTTTTTCCTTTGTTTGTTTTTGTTTTTTTGTAACACATTGTAATTCTATACTAATTACTAATAAAAAATCATTAATGTTTGTTTTATTTTATGCACTTTTTTTTGTATATTAATATCTATCATATTCATTATTTACATAATAATAATAATAATATTTAATTTAATTTATTTGAATATTAATAAGTCACGTTATTCGTACTAATCATTCATTTTAAGGAAAGATTAACCCAGGATTTCCTCATAGGTAGAACTCGGTTCTGGAGCCGCTCTGTTGGAGGATCTTTCCTTTTAAGGAAAGATCTTTGAATATATCGCGTGAATTTTTTTTCTTGACTAAATAAATATATAATAAAAAAACGAATAATTGATTCATCAGGGTTGATGTAATAATTCTCTCGGTGTAAGTTGCCTATTTCTTGATCATCAAAATTTTCTTGTATTTGTTCATCCATTTTTATTATTATAAATATTAAAACAAAGGTGAGAAAACTTCTGAGTTGATTTGGATACCCACCTTTTTATAAATAGTTGGTAATTACTTTATTTTTGTGGCACATTGCTAAATTCAATTATTTTATTTCCGCGACACGTTGCTAAATTCAATTACTTTATTTTCGCGGACACATTGCTAAATTCAATTATTTTATTTTCGCGACACATTGTTAAATTCAATTAAAATTTTTTCGTGACACATTACTATTACTATTACTATATATTTATTTTGCTAAATTTATGTGATACAATTTCCTTTAAAAGTAGTGGACTCGCTATTAAATGACAAATGCTTCTTGGAAAATTCTGTTTTAAAAAAAATACATCATTTTTAATGTATATATATATATATTAATATGCCAAGTTTAATTGTCACACTAAAAAATGCGTTATTCGTCACCTTCTTATATCAAAATGTTTATTCGTCGCCGAAGTTTTGTATTTTTTTTGTGAAACATTTTGATTTTTGTGTAATGGAGAACGGCTCCACAAGAGCCGAACGGAGCGGAGCGGAACCGCCCCATCCCTAGTTCTGTGTTCGGTTTGGTTCAGAACTGGTTCACTAGTGGAACCGCCCCATCCCTACAGGAGAGACCGTTCTGGGAACACAAAATTTTAACCCATGCCATTTGTTGATTGACCAATTAAAATCGCGAATTTGATAAACGTAGAAATAAATATGGGTTTGATTCATTTTGTCAACA